GGCTGGTACCGTTGTGGCACACGCCACTACGGCGTTTACGGCTCAGAGTGACATTCCGGACGGGGGGGCTGGTGGGTGGTGTTTCACACGACGGAGGGGTGGACGATCGTTGGATCGCCGAATTATGTGCGGAAAATTCGGCCCTTTCCGCTGAGCAGCGTTGTGCGATTCATAAATTATTAGCGAGCTATTCCGATGTGTTTAGCTCGGACGATTTGGACTTGGGACGCACCTCGCTGCTCTCTCATCACATCGAAACGGGGGACGCGGCCCCTATCCGCTTGAACTCGCGTCGGATGAGTCCGGCTGAGCGTGAGCACGTTCGAGGGGCAGTGGAAGACATGTTGGAAGCGGATATTATATCTCCGTCTAATAGCCCGTGGGGCGCGCCTGTTGTGTTGGTTAAAAAGAAAGATGGTAAATTACGATTTTGTGTGGATTTTCGGAAGTTAAATAGAGTATCGGTGGCAGATGCGTATCCCCTGCCGCGTATGGACGATTCTCTCGACGCCTTGTCAGGGGCTAAGTTTTTTTCAACGCTAGATCTCTCTTCGGGCTTCTGGCAGCTTCCCCTTGACGAGCCCTCGCGGGAAAAGACAGCGTTCCGTACGCCGCAGGGGTTGTTCCAATTTAACTGTCTGCCGATGGGGTTGAATGCAGCCCCTGCCACCTTTCAGAGATTGATGGAGTTGGTATTGACGGGGTTGCAGTGGGAGACATGTCTCATTTATTTAGATGATATTATTGTCTTCAGCCGCACATTTGATGAGCATCTATTGCGGTTGGAGGCCGTTTTTGCCAGAATGCGTTCTGCTAATTTGAAATTCAAGCCTAAGAAATGTCATCTACTGCAACGTTCCGTTCGATACTTGGGACATATTGTTAGTGCGGACGGGGTGGCCACGGATCCAGAGAAAACTGCGTGTGTCCGGGATTGGGCAACCCCCGCCACGGTGGGTGATGTGCGTCGGTTTTTGGGGTTCGCCTCATATTACCGGAGGTTTGTTCCGAATTTCGCTACTATCGCCAGGCCTTTGCATCTCCTTACTGGGAAGGGGCACAAATTTGTGTGGGGACCGCCGGAGGAGGCGGCGTTTCGGAGCCTGCGCGACTTACTGGCTACTGCGCCGACGTTGGATTATCCGGATTTTGACCATCCCTTCATTCTGGATACTGATGCGAGTGACACCGGGATTGGGGCGGTGTTGTCCCAGTCAAAAGGTGGTGTTGAGCGTGTGGTGGCGTACGGGAGTCGGGTTTTGTCTCCCGCGGAAACTCGTTACTGCGTCACTCGCAGGGAACTTTTGGCTATTGTGTATTTTCTCCGCCAATTTCGACCGTATCTGTACGGTCGGTCGTTTATTGTCCGAACGGACCATGCGGCCTTGCAGTACGCTCTTAAGATGGACCAGCCATCCGGACAATTGGCGAGATGGCTGGACACGTTGCAAGAATTCTCCTTCCAAATTCACCATCGGAAGGGTGTGCGTCACGCTAACGCGGACGCACTGTCCAGATTGCCGCAACAATCCCCTTGTGCGTGTGCGTCGGGGACGCATAGGTGTGGACCGGCTCAGCCCCCCCCTCAGCCTGTCGCGCGGGCAGTGGATGTTCTCGAACCTCCGCTTACACCGGGACCGGTTGAAGGGGGACCGGCTGACGGGATTTTGCGTCTTCCAAGGTCTGTGTGGATTCGGGAGCAAATGTTGGACGATTCTTTGGTGTCGTTACGGAAACGAACGGAGAGGGCGGGTAAGGAAGTCGGTGCGGGTGGTAATTCGGAAACTGCTCTCCGAGATGGGTTACTGATGTGGAGGGAAGGGATACAGGAACACTGGCGTCTCGTTGTGCCTGCGTCATTGCGCTATGAGTTGATTAGATCCTTGCACTGTGACACACTTTTACACCTGGGGGTGCAGAAAACCCTATTGACGCTGCAGCGAGACTATTATTGGCACGGCATGACGACGGATGTCGTCGGTCACGTTCGCGCGTGTCCCGATTGTGCCCGCCGTAAGCCGCCTAAACATCCATATGTTCCGCCGATACAATCGATTAAAGTATCTCGGGTTAATGAGTTGGTGGCGTTAGATATTTTGGGACCCTTTCCGCCATCAGCTAAAGGGAATAAGTATTTACTGGTGGGGGTGGAGTACCTCTCCCGCTGGCCGATGGCCTGGCCCTTGCCTGACCAGTCAGCGGCGTCTATCACGGACGCCTTTCTATTTGGGTATGTAATGGACAAAGGGGCTCCGGAGAGGCTCCTTACGGATCAGGGACGTAACTTTTCGTCTAAATTGTTGGGGGAGGTGTGTGCGGCTCTTGGAACTAAAAAGATACGGACGTCCCCCTACCACCCGCAAACGGATGGTATGGTGGAACGGTTGAATCGGACTCTGTCCGCCATGCTGTGCCATACGGTCGGGGAAAACCAATCTGATTGGGATTTTCATATCCCTGGGGTGCTTTCGGCGTATCGCATGACGCCGCACGCGGCTACTGGATACTCGCCGTTTTTTCTTATGTACGGCCGTGAGAATGTGCCGCCGATTCATGACCAGTTGGGAACCGGTGCGAGGGGGCCTGTTAAGCCTCTTCCTGAGTATATTAAGGACAACGTTCGGCGTGTCGCTGAGGCGAGGGAAAATGCCCGCATGGCTACTGCCAAGGCTCAGGCCAGGAATGAGCGGTGTGCCCGACGTTCAAAGGGGGAGTGTCCCTGGAGAAAGGGGGACCTGGCCTGGCTTCATTGCCCACAGGTGCGGCCAGGTACATCTCCTAAATTACATCGACCTTGGCAGGGTCCGGTCCGCCTCATTGAGGTTCCCAACCCACAGTCGGCGCGTGTTCAGGTTGGTGCACGGCGTTGGTTCGTGCACACGTCCCGGTTGAAGCCATACATTGCCCCACGGCCGGATGCGTCATCTCCCGAAGTTGCCTTGCCGGGGTCTGTTGCTGCCGACTCGCCCTTGCCTGTGTCTGCTGACCTTGCGAGAGCGCCTGTCGTACCCTTCACAGACAAGCCGGCCGTGACAACGCAGGGAGGAGGACCTTCCGCTTGTGGGACGCCGACCGGAGCCGCAGAACCCACGGGACCTGCAGCTCTTCCTATCCCTCCGCGGACGCGAGTACGGGATGTTTCTGGACGCGAGCGGGACAGTGGCGGGCCTCCAATGGCGACGGAAGAACTTGCGCCCGTCGCCCCTAAAACCCTTCCACGTTCCCGCTCGGCGGGTGGGCCGCCGACCGTCCGGGACGGCCCGGCTACCCGTACTCGCTCGAAATCCCTCACGTTTCGTTAGATTGTGTTGTGTTGTGTTATTGTTATAATGTTCTTCAATGCTTCGTGTCTTTTTGCGTGTTGGCCCTTTACACCCGCATTGCTTTTCAGGTTGCAATTCAGCCGAGGTCGGCTGGATTTTCTTTAGGGGGGAGGGTGATGTAATGCGGTTGTAAACGGCCCTTCTGAGGTGCCGTCAGGGGGGGAGGAGTTAGGTCACGTGGGGGGCAGAGGGGTTGAGTATAGAAGGAGGGGAACCGGAAGAGCAAGGGGAGTGACGGGGAACCAGGAACAGAGGAAGGCCACGAAGGGCGAAGCAGGGTGTGGCGAGATCGCCACGAACACGGGGGGAGCGAGGATCGGCACCGTTGGCCAGCGGTGACCGACCCGAAGCAGCGAGGAGGCTGCAGTCAGCAGCGGGGCTGCACAGAGAGAGAGTGGGCAGCGGGTCTGCATACAGTGACAGCCAGAGGGTCTGCACATAGGGGTAGCAGCAGGAGTCTGCGTAGGGGTAGAAGCGAGTCTGCAGGGAGGAGGTTACAGTAGATGAAGCAGAGAGTCAGAGGGGAGAGGAAGCTATAATAGCAGTGAATAGCCGGGGGCTACAAATACAGGAGTTATAACAGAGTGCCGTGTGGGTAAAGACGTGAACCTGAATAAAGACACGAAGACAGAAAGAAGTGTTCGAGTCCTTTTATTACACATGAGACGGAGTCGTAGCCACCGGTTTTAATTTGGCCATGAAGTCAAGTTTGCTGTCCCAGCCAAATTGTCTTTTCTGTCAAGAATTACAGACCCAGATTCATTTTTCTCTTGCCTAATTTTTTTATTTTATGGGCTGCATTTAAAGTTAGAATGTTACAATATCCACATTAATCGGGTATTGTACTGGTATTCTGCCTAGGTATGGTTATATTTGTGATAAACCATGCATATAATCACGCCACAAAGTGACAAGTGCGGGGGAATTGCATGGCTGCAGTAAATAATGAGATTATTTTTCTGCTATAAATTTCCACATGACATTCTTGGTGTCGCGAGAACTGCCGGCACAGCAAGCCGTCGTATATACTGGCGAATTTCCACCATTCTTATGTACAACGAGCCTTTTGCCCGTCCAAGGACGTGTGTATTTCAATAAATCTGAAACTTGCAAGCGAAAAGCAGACCGCGACGTGATATTCATTGCATCAATTCGCGTGCAATTTGTAACGCCGCGGTGACACAGACTTATTTCATTGAAAGGTTATAATCCCTTGTTCATCATGACTTCCTTTTTACTTCGATGTCTCAACAGCGTTACGGAGATCGCGTGACGTGAGAGCCTTTGTAGTGAGGGTTGTAAGTTGACGCTGAGGAATGGGGAGGAGGCGCCTCGCCCCCCCATGTGGAGTGACGTCACCCGCTAATTATTATTAATGGCGGGGGGGGGGTGTCCATTTGGAAGACGTCACCTCTTCATGATTATTAATAAGGGGGGCTGTTTGATGTGGAGTGACGTCACCTGCTCATGATTATTAATGAGGGAGGCTGGCCGTCGAGTGACGTCAAGCGTGAGACACACAGACATTATTGGCTCATTATAGTAGTAAATAGCAGAGTTTGGGCAAAACCCCAAATCCTATCGCATTCTGAAGAGTCAAATCTCAACAACATTTGTCTATCCTTGGAAAAAAACAGCAAAAAGGCGTATTGGTATTTTTTGTTGCATGCTTATTTATTAACTATTCAATCACATGAACAGCAATGGCCGAGCAGGGATATTCTGCCGTGGAGCCTTCAGAACTGTCGGATGCAGCGCACCGACTGCATGGTGGGGCTCATTGCGCCCCACTCGTTGCACTTGCGGTAGTCGCCCTTCTCCAGCAGGTACTGGCGCCCGCGGTAGTGCGGCTCCTCGTACGCCACCCAGGCGCCGTCGTGCACCCTCACAGAGCGCGCCTCTCGCATGCTGTAGCGGTCGTAAAGGTGTGGGCAATCCTCCGCGCACTCCGTCATGTGGCCACCGAAGTTGTCTTCGCGATACAGGGACAGGCGGTTGTTGGTGGTGTTGCACTGCGAACACACACCGCGGAGAGGATTCGAAGACAGAGTGTTACAATTTCGAACCCTGCATTGCTGCACGATGAAATTCTGGCTGCTCGTTCGAAATGTCTTATTTGTCACCGTTGTAAAAAAGAAAAATTAGCTTGCCTCGTACAGACCAAAGGACATACATGCACAGATCGCTGATATATTGACATTGCTTTGTGAGAATATGTTTCCCTTTAAAGTTTAGCGAATGAGCCACCGTTCGGAAAGTTTATACAGCAGCCATCAGTGCAAAAACATATGTTTGGTTTTGTACACTTTGTTTATTTAACAAACATTCTCAAGCGCAACGTATCACAACGTGGTTTCAGAGCGCTGTACAGGATGATAAAATAACTTTTAATGAGTCACAAAAGCACATATATAAGATACTAGCTGTACTACCCGGCTTCGCCCGGGACTTGTATCTACCACGGCCGGCCGCCTTTGTCTCCCCAGTGGCGATGTTAATACGCTACAGCAGTTACTCGTTTGAGGCAGAGTCGACCTAGGGGAGGTTCAAATAATCGTCACCGGTGGTGGCCGTGAGCGGGAATCGAACTGGGTTCGCCGGGTTGGTAGCGCAGCGTAGCGTTAAGCACTACACCCACCGCTCCTCACACACCACACACGCACAGACACACACACAGACACACACACAGACACACGCAGACACACACAGACAGAGACACACAGACACACAGACAGCACGCTAACCACTACACTACCGCTCCCCACACACCACACACGCACACACACACACACAGACACACACACAGACACACACACACACACACAGACACACACACACAGACACAGGCAGCACGCTAAGCACTACACTACCGTTCCCCCTACACAACACACGCGCGCGCGTCCATAGGTACACATACACGCGCTTGCTGCAGACACACACGACTTTCAGGGTGCGTACGGCAGTAAACGACTGAAATAATAAAGCGGCAATGCTGTGTAAGGAACGCCTTAGACCCGCATTACACATTTGTGTAATGCGAGCGTAAACACACAAACACACACAAACACATACACAATACACACACACATACATGCAGACACACAGACAGACACATAACACACATACATACACACACATACAAACACAGAAACACATACACACACATACATAGACACACACATACATACACACAAACACATCCACAGACGTACATACACACATACATACAGGCACGCAGACATACACATAAACACATACAAAAAAACCCACATACATACACACACACATACATACACACAAACACATGCACACACATACATACACACATGCATACAGACACACAGACATACACATAAACACATACACACATACACATGACCCGGCTTCGCCCGGGACTTGGATCCACCACGCCCGGCCGCCTTTGTCTCCCCAGTGCCGATGTTAATACGCAACACCAGTTACTCGTTTGAGGCTGAGTGGACCTAGGGGAGGTTCAAATAATCGTCACCGGTGGTGGCCGTGAGCGGGAATCGAACTCGGTTCGCCGGGTTGGTAGCGCAGCGTAGCGTTAAGCACTACACCCACCGCTCCTCACACACCACACACGCACAGACACACACACAGACACACACACAGACACACGCAGACACACACAGACAGACACAGACAGACACACACACACACAGACACACAGACAGCACGCTAAGCACTACACTATCGCTCCCCACACACCACACACGCACACACACAGACACACACACAGACACACACACACAGACACAGACAGCACGCTAAGCACTACACTACCGTTCCCCCTACACAACACACGCGCGCGCGTCCATAGGAACACATACACGCGCTTGCTGCAGACACACACGACTTTCAGGGTGCGCACGGCAGTAAACGACTGCAATAATAAAGCGGCAATGCTGCGCGAGGAACGCCTTAGACCTGCAACACATTTGTGTAATGCGAGCGTAAACACACAAACACATACAAACACATACATACACATACACACACATACACACACACAGACATACACATACACACAAACACACACATACATGCACACAAACACATACACAATACACACACACATACATGCAGACACACAGACAGACACATAACACACATACATACACACACATACATACACAGAAACACATACACACACATACATACACACACACATACATACACACAAACACATGCACACACGTACATACACACATACATAGAGACACGCAGACATACACATAAAGACATACAAAAAAACCCACATACATACACACACACATACACACAAACACATACATACACATACATACACACATACATAGAGACACACAGACATACACATAAACACACATACACATGACCCGGCTTCGCCCGGGACTTGGATCCACGATGCCCGGCCGCCTTTGTCTCCCCAGTGACGATGTTCACACACGACAGCAGTTACGCGTTTGAGGCTGAGTGGACCTAGGGGAGGGCCAGGTCCGTTTCAAATAATCGTCAGCGGTGGTGGGCGTGAGTTGGAATCGAACTGGGGTCGCTCAAGCAGCTTAATGACTGTTTGTACAAAGAACATATAAAGAATCGATTATAATAACCAGGCAAGAGTCCACATTATAGACTGCCAGTACACGCACTCAGCTTCATAAGCAGGCTAGAGTGTACATGATAGAGTGGCAGTACGCTCACCGAGCTTAATAAGCAGGCTACAGTGTACATGATAGACTGGCAGTACGCTCACCCAGCTTAATGAGTATTTGTACAGTGAACATTAAAGTAATCGATTGTTGGCGCGTTGGGTTTAAAAGTAATATTAATAGCACACATTGTGGTGGGGGTGTAGTGAAGAGTAGGAAAAACTTTGATGAATTTACCTCAGAGTGGCGTGGTGGGTGTCGAGGCCTAGTAGCGTGCAAAGCCTGCGGCCTCGCCTAAAATTGTCGGCTTGGAAGAGGCAGGGTACGGGTGGCGTGCCTTCCCCCCCCCCCCTCAGCGCTCCAACAATACTGTGTAATGGCTATTATTTAATTAAATACGGAGCTTATGAAAGTGGCGAAGGCGTGGCTAGCCGTTGGCAGGGGCAACCGCCGTCCAATGAAACTGCAGCCCTTGGCGAAGGCGTCGCTAGCCGTTGCCAGGTCCAATGAAAGCGGCGAAGGCGTGGCTAGCCGTTGCCAGGGGCAACCGTCGTCCAATGAAAGTGCGTATGGGCCGAAATCCACACACACACACACACAGACAGACATGAACGATTTTATATATATAGATATCTCACAGTGCAATATATCAGTGGCAATGCATAGGAATGGCATCTTCTTTAACATGCTCAACACATGTGTCAATGACACCACCCCCTCGTAACGAAAAAAAACACTACCCATTTTCTACGGGCAGAGCATTCCAGATTTAAGAACCAAGGACCATAAAAAGGCCAAGCCGCAAAGATGTATCGATGAAACGTTGTCTGACAGAGGGACATGGAGTGTGTAGGGACCTCAAACGTCTGAGAGGATTGTAAAGCTGCAATTGCAGACAGCGCAGCGTTTTGTGAATTTAACACAGTCTTTTAATTTCTGCACGGAGCTCAATCAATCGGAAGCCAATGGAGATCCAATAAAGTTTGAGAAATTAGGTCCCGACGGGATCGGGCGGTCAAGGGTCGATCTGAAAGCCGTGGAGCAGTCTGACTTGCCATCGCGGCAACCCCACGCACAGAGCATCGCTTTGGTAGAGACGATACAACGGCACTCGAGAACAGTCGCGCTATTTCTATCTGGCTAGGTACGGTGCGAAAGAAGTTCAAAATACATATATACAAAATGATTTAAGAATTTAGATTATCCGTAGATGGAAACATACTCGTTTTTACTACTTGTTTTATCCGTGGCAACAACGACAAGTACTCGTAGTCATATGTAGTGGTATTGTCGCTACCTTTTCCACAGACCAAACCCACATATTTTTTGCGACTCTAGGTCTATCCAAACTGTGCAGTACACTGTGATACAGTTCAACGTAGTGCCGGCACCAAATCTTGGTGTAAATACATTTCCGCCACCCAAAACAAGACGCCAATTGTTGGACAGTCGACGTCAAACCCTGGCACGTGGCGATCCTGCGTCGTTATCTAGTGACGTAAACATTGCATACTATTCATATGTGGTCATTTAATGTGGGATGGAGGCTTCCACCCGTACATCGCCATACTAGCTTGTACACGTTGGTGAAGTGGATGGGGAGGGGTTGGGTGGGGGGGTGGGGAGGGTGGGGCTGGGTGGGGGGTGGGAGGGGTGGGGCTGGGTGAGGAGGGGCTGGTCACCCCGTGGTGCCCTTATACAACTCAACGTTTAACCTACTCATGCCGGTTTGTGCCCACCCTCACAGTCGGGCATATTTGCGGAATACACCACGCCGCCGTTGACCCTGGCCATTGACTGAGCAACGCACACGTTCCTACCAGCTCCCTCCACAGGAATGTGCTTAAATAAGCTCCTGAGAGCAGCACGTCTGGGCATTCATTTCAAAGACATATTCATCCATGTGGTCGGATGGGGGGGTATGTGAATATGTGTGGATAAGCTCGCGTGCTTATGTGTGTGTACACGGTGCCATTACGTGTTTTATGTGTACGTATCCCTGTTAACGCGCTCGCAAACGAGCTGTTCAACCTAAAAGCGGTGAAATATTTCAATTGAAAAAAAAAACTCTACTATTAACTTGTTGAATTGTATCATTGCAAGGCAATATTTACGATACTCACACCACGGATGGCTCTGCAAGAGCCGATGTGGTCGTTGTGCGCCATCCAGCGCTGGTACTCGGGGTACTCCCCGGGCTCCATGATGTACATGTTGCCCTTGTGGTCCGGACGCTCGTAGATGACCCAGGCGCCGCCCTCCACGCGGATCGAGTTGCAGCGGCTCAGGTTCGACGCCAGGTTCATGCAGTCCTGGCCGGACTCATAGTGGCGGCCCTTGAAGTCCCGCTCCTCGAAGAAGATGATCTGCGGTGCGCAGCCGAGTGCGCGGGACACACGCCGGATTTCACACGCCGTTAAAAATTGTGAAGTTGCTGCTTAAGTGAATTTGCACGTAGAATCATTAGTTTATGAAACTATTGTTTAAATCTATCTTGCTCTTGGGAGACAAAGAAGATGATGGCATTTTGACTGACTGGCCTTCCTCTGAAAATATCCTATCAGTGGCAATCAAGATTAAATGAATACGCTGTTAGAATTTTCACCAACATGTTATTTTAACATATTCATATTTTCCGTGTCAAATGTATATCTTTTTTAAATATAAACCTGTCGCAATGAAAAATCTTAAATCTTCAAACAAAAGTGACGTCTTTAACTATGTGTGATATTCACGTATGAAATGAAAGAGTCCATGTTACTAATTTGAAAATGTTTGTATACATACCATTACGTGTGTGCTATGTCCGTGTCAATCGAATACCCCCGACACCATCGCAAACAAAATATTGTCATAAATAAAATCTATGCACAGTGCTTAGCAGTGGACTCTAAACCTAGCAGGACGTGTGAGAGGTCTAGGCAAGATAATATCTTAGTGTTGTGAGCAACTTTGCAATTTATCCGACGTATATCAAAACGTTGCAGTATACTGTGATAAAGTGCAACACAGTAGCAGTACTAGATCGCAGTACAAATCAATTCCTGCTACCCGAACACAGATGCCACATAGACTATCCAGCTCAAATCCGGATAAGTGGCAACCCTTTGTACATATATATTATTTATACCTATCAGAGGAGAATAACATGTTCAAAAAAAGACAAAGATCCCCCGTATAGCCTGAACAGACTGTTGGTGTAAGTGCTGTTAGCGAGCACCTATGAAGGTTGGCACGGCACACAGCGGGGTGGGTGGCCAGCACCACGCCCGGCCGCCTTTGTCTCCCTAGTGGCGATGTTTAAACACCGCACCAGGTACTCATTTGAAGCTGAGTCGACCTAGGGGAGGCCCGGTACCGGTTCAGATAATCGTCACTGGCGTTGGCCGTGAACGGGAATCGAACTCGGGTCGCCGGGTTCATAGCGCAGCGCGCTGACCGCTACACTACTGCTCCCCACACACGTACAGGTACACACACACACACGTGCAGGCACACACACGCGTACAGGTACACACACGTACAGGTACAAACACACACACGTAAAGGCACACACACACACACGTACAGGTACACACACACGTACAGGTACAAACACACACACGTATAGGTACACACACACACGTACAGGTACACACACACGTACAGGTACACACACACACGTACAGATACACACACACGTACGGGTACACACACACGTACAGGTACACACACGTACAGGTATACACACGCGTACAGGTATACACACACACGCACAGGTACACACACACGTACAGGTACACACACACACGTACAGGTACACACGCACACACGTACAGGTACACACAGACGTACAGGTACACACACGTACAGGTACACACATACGATGTCCTCATCTGCTGGAACGATGCGCCGAAGTACCTTTCTCATTTTGAAGGCAGGGACACGTAAGCAATGTAACGAGTCTGTTGGCTCGGATCCACAGCTGTATTTATATAGAGCCGCCCATTGTGAACACGCTTATTTAGCATTGCTGCTAAATCTCGCGTTGCATTGTGTGCATTGTTCGTGTTAACATACCGCGTGTTAGTTGATTGGTCAGCAGGTCAGAAACAAGGTAAAAAGCTGCTGATGCAAGCCTGACATATCTAAAGCTTTTTGGATAATATCAGTCCTGTGCAATATCCATTGTGCCAGAACGGAACACGCGTGCGATACTTTCAAAATAGATTCTATATGCACACATCATGAAAAATGCTGTATAGAGGTGAAGGGAAAGTCCGGACGAGGAATGTCCGCAGGCGCTTAATTTAATATCCCGATAACTCGCAGACATGCAAGGGGACTCTCTTGAGGCGTGTGACGAGCAACGCACAACAGGCGCCCAGGTGGCCTGACGCATTCTCTGCGTACAGGTTCCTCGGGTGGTGCCCGAGTCTTCTCAACCGACCCTAAACTCCCAGCCGACCACCTTCAAATCCCTTAATCGGTCTCCAGTCAACCTTGCCTCATCACCTCCGATTAGCACGGTGCGAAATAAGTTCAATATACATTACATACATAAATACAACACAGCTATCATCTGCATATCTCGGGGTGAGTTAGATATTGAGCACCAACCTTTCCTGCATGTAGCTCCTCTATCTCTTAGAATCATTTCACGATGTAGGACAAACGAATCAGCTGATGATGCACATCCTTGTCTAAAGCCTCTCATTACGGACACAACACTTAACCTCTCCATCAACTCTAATGGCTGCTGTTTCCCTCCCAAAATAAACGAATTATTACTCTAAGGTGTGTTCAATATTGATCGACATTCCCGAGCGCAATCATTCCCTCTTCATGCCTCTCTTTATTGTCATCTTTTGTGCAGTCAATGAAACGTAAAATAATAATAATTTCATTTCATAGAACGTAATTCCTGCAATTACATCCCACAACGCTGCACATCACTTATCCATGATAATTGGTTTTTTACCCTTCTATCTGGCAACAAAACTGACACCTTTTTTACAAGGAGCCATGTTTGCGTAGACCAGAATACCTGCAGCCATAATGCAAACAAAAAACATAACTCTGATAATATGTACACTGTCCTTGAAGTTGATTGGTCCACACCCGAGACAGCTTTCCTTAGAGCCTAGTCTCACATGGATTGGACCAGATGACGCCAAAAGGCGCACAACTTAAAGACAATGCACCATCAGAGTATGAGAGCTCGGGGTAAGCATTTACACCATTGGAACCTCATTTGCCAGTAAAAAATATGATAATAAGTTTTCTACCCTTCTATCTGGCAACAAAACTGACACCTTTTTTACAAGGAGTCATGTTTGCATAGACCACAATACCTGCAGCCATAATGCAAACAAAAAACATAACTCTGATAATATATGCACTGTCCTTGAAGTTGATTGGTCCACACCCGAGACAACTTTCCTTAGAGCCTAGTCTCACATGGGTTGGACCAGATGACGCCAAAGGGCGCACAACTCAAAGACAATGCACCATCAGAGTATGAGAGCTCGGGGTAAGCATTTACACCATTGGAACCTCATTTGCCAGTAAAAAAATATGATAATTGGTTTTTTAACCTTTCTATCTGGAAAACATGACTCCTTGTAAAAAAGGTGTTCGTTTTGTTGCCAGATAGAAGGGTAAAAAAACAATTATCATATGTTTTACTGGCAAATGAGGTTCCAATGGTGTAAATCACTTATCCAGTTCCGTACACAGATAATACAAACAAACTCTGCTAATAATTATCAAATAAAAATGTATACAAAAATACGTAAGGAAATAAAAATACACGTAATTGTAATGATGTTGATGATGATATCCAATTTTAAAGACATCGCAGACATGCATGGCTATTATACGAGCGGATTTGTGCTTCATTCTTGAAAATTATTCTCTAGCGGACTGTGACATGCCAAAAAAGCTTGAGGGATCTTAAAAACCTGAGCAGCTCTTCTGGATAGGGGCACCCACGCGAGTTAGGTGCTACGCAAGAAGCGAGAAAACAATGTTATTCCCTTTATCAAGCCACAATGATCAGCGTGGTTGGGTTTTGGTCAAACAACCCCCCGTGACTTCGCAGCACCTAAACCGCAAAGCTCCAGAGTTCCCAGGACGTTGGAATGATGGTCTCAGCCCGGTCACAAATGGTACAATGGAGACCCCACAGGCTTGCACAAAGACCCCATAGACTCACACAGAGACCCCACAGACTCGCATAGAGACCCTCACATAGAGACCCTGCAGACTCACAAACAGACCCCACAGATTGACATAGAGACCCCTCACATAGAGACCCCATAGACTCACACAGAGACCCCACAGACTCGCATAGAGACCGTACAGACTCACATAGCGACCCCACAGGCTCACACAGAGACCCCATAGAGTCACAAAGAGACCCCGCAGACCCACACAGAGAACCCACAGATTCACAGATACATCCCACAGACTTACACAGATACCTTACAGACTCACATAGAGACCCCACAGACTCACATAGAGACTCCACAGACTCACATAGAGACCCCACAAACTCACATAGAGACCTTACAGACTCACACAAAGACCCATAGTTTCACACAGAGACCAAATATACTCATACAGAGACCCCATATAGTCACATAGAGACACCAAAGACAAACACAGAGACCCCACAGACTCGCACAGAGAGCTCATAGACTCACACAGAGACCTCACAGACTCACAAAGAGACCCAACACACAGAGACCCCACAGATTGACATAGAGACTCCACAGACTCACACATATACCTCATAGATTCACACAGAGACCCCATAGACTCACATAGAGACCCAACAGACTCACACAGAAACTACATAAACTGACACAGAGACCCATAGACTCACATAGAGACCTCACAGACTCACAAAGAGACCCCACAGACTCGCATAGAGATCTCACAGATTCACACATAGACCCTATAGACTCAGGTAGAGATGCCACAGACTCGCATAGAGACTTCACATACTTTCATAAAGAACCGATAGACTCACACAGATACCCCATAGATTCACACAGAGACCCAATAGCCTCACACAGCGACTCCATAGAATCACATAGAGGCCCCACAGACTCACACAGAGACCCCTTACACTCACACAGACACCCCATAGACTCACACAGAGACCTCATAAACTCACACAGAAACCCCATAGACTCACACAGAGACCCCTTACACTCACACAGATAACCCATAGACTCACACAGAGACCTCATAGACTCGCACAGAACCCCCATAGACTCACACAGAGACCCCTTACACTCACTCAGACATCCCACAGATTCACACAGAGACCCCATAGACTCACACAAAAACCCGCAGCCATGGAATTCAGCTGGTTAGTTGGACGTGGACAGAATTAGGCAAGTGACGTTATATCATTGTCAAACTTTTAGGGATTCGGTTGCAGTAATTTGTTAACGAAATTACAGGACGACATTAAACGAAACAATAAACATCACATCAGTGCGTTCTCGGTCTCCACCGTGTCAATCTCGTGGTGTATCCTGCAGCGGCGGTTCGTATGATTATGACAATAATAGTGATACTAATAATGATAATAATAACAGTTATCTGGGAGATTTCGCGTTAACGGTTCCCTGTAGTCATGCAAATTGTTTTTGTACGAACAGTATTCGTTTTATTGTATCGCCCGTGAAATGTTGACTACCTCGCCTAGTATAGAGGACGTCGTGGGTTCGATCCCGACTCTTACGCCTGCTGTATATTTATAGTTTGTATGTTCTCCCTGTGGTCATGTGAATATTTCTCCGGGTTCTCCGGTTTTTTTCCTCCACATTTTGAATCAACACGCCTTTAGGGTATTTGGCTGCTATACATTTCCACGTGAAAAATCACTTCGTTGAGCAATTATTTGTGATAGCCAGGTCGCTTCTGAAAAAGAGCTATATAGCTCAGTGGGCCTTACCTGCTAACATACAAATTTAAATGTAAAGTGTTTAACATAAAAAAGCAATGCAGGACCGCCCTGGATTTGAGTCATTGGACTCAGTGTTGCTCTGCTAGGTAAGTGATTCGTGAGTCCATTGTACGAGCAGCGTTGTGTGTCATGCCTCTTGGCTGCAGCACAATCCACAGTTGATATGACATTGTGGCAGCAGCAGCAAAATAAACATCAACATATGCCATTTTCTATCTACTGCTGGATAAAGGCCTCCCCACGCAATCACCATCTCTCCTGATCCTGCTATGCCACAATTCGCTGTATACAAGCAGACTACCCGATCACATTTCCCTATATGCTGCATGCTCAAGGCTGCAAGGACAACAACAGCATGGGAAGGTTCCTCAACACGGTCATAAGTAACACGGGACAAGATTTTGGCTGTTACCTAAACGGGATTTAAAATATGAAAGGACATTTTAACCCTTTAACAACAATACATGCACTAGCGTATTTATTAAACGGGTCTCTTACAATCACTATATATCAAATTAATATAAAGAATAAACTGCCTTCTCCGGTTTTATTAAATATTCACTTGTTTTTTGTGTTCGTGGTTAAATATGAATTCGATAATGAGTATGTATCCATTGGCGTATGTGCATGTCGATTTCACGCAAATTATACGATTTAATGTAAAACTTTCTTTAAGCATGTACTCCTGATGTTTAGCTTCGCAATGACTAATTACAGAGAGTGAACATTCAACACGCGGTGGATGCTCGCTGCACGAGCGATATAGAAGTGCAGAGTAAGCATTTATCTTGCTGATGCACCACTCAATAAGCAACGGTTTGCTAAACGCAGCGTAACAATTAATACATTGTGAGAGGTTGACAATTGGATTGTCACCGAAGGGGAACGCTCAGCCCTATATATAGTGTCCCTGTAGCCTCAACTAAGTGCACTCCTCTGCGCTGACAACCACAGCCTCACCATGAAAAAGGTAAAGTGGTAAAGTATCGGTGTGTTGGTAATATACCACAATTCAGCTGAGCATCGTGTTTACGTAAACGGTATACGCCATTGTATTGTCAATATGAGGTGGGATGAAGCGGTGGTTGTTAGAAAGTACATACATTTGGTTTGCTAATAAGAACAAGCGATATGTGTGCCTGTGCTTATATACAGCGTGTCACACACATACACACAGATATCACACAGCGTTCACCATTGTAGCTCTAACTACTCACTCACTGAGTACTCACTCACTGCTTACTTAGTGGGGATTCGTGGCATTACTGATGGTTCACACTGTACAGCAAGTGTGGCCACATGGGTTGAAATCCTGGGTGTTATATTTTACCAATTAAAAAATTTCACCTTGAAATCCCTAGAGATGGAACTTATCTTTGTAAAGGGTGTCCAGGGTCTCAACTGGCACTGAGCTAATACATGAGACATAAGCAGATATTTTAAATCTCTTACTAATACAAATTGTGTGTGAACAATCTAATATCACACCCAAACACACGAGTGCTGTTTCTGAAGATTGTTTTAATCACTGCGAGAGGCTTTTGTTGGTGAATTCTAAATCAAATTATCAATTTTTTAATTTAAATGAAGAGTTACATTTAGGGATGTTTTCATTCTCTAATTATATTTGCTTCAATGTTGAACTTGTTTTTTCATGCTCTTGTTTTTGTAATTCGGTGGCACAGGTTACTCTTGAAAATGAGACTCATCCTGGCATCAAAGTTTTTCACCTGGCTAAACAAAATAAAATTGGAATTGGACTAGAACATGTTTGTATACATTAGAGCAGAGTGGTGGTTTATTTTTCAAAGTCACGGAAAAGAAACGGAAGATTTACTTAGAGGAAAGCCAATTCGTCGAAATATTAAAAACTTCCTTTCCTCTGAATGGCAGTACAGTACTATATTAAACATAATGTAGTACACTTAATAAACATTTGCTTCTACGTGTAAGTTCACGAAGCAGCAACTTCACAACTTTTAACGGCTCGTGAAATCCGGCATGTGTGCCCCACGCTCGGCTGCGCACCGCAGATCATCTTCTTCGAGGAGCGGGACTTCAAGGGCCGCCACTATGAGTCCGGCCAGGACTGCATGAACCTGGCGTCGAACCTGAGCCGCTGCAACTCGATCCGCGTGGAGGGCGGCGCCTGGGTCATCTACGAGCGTCCGGACCACAAGGGCAACATGTACATCATGGAGCCCGGGGAGTACCCCGAGTACCAGCGCTGGATGGCGCACAACGACCACATCGGCTCTTGCAGAACCATTCGTGGTGTGAGTATCCCAACGTGCGGCCAGTGCACAGGGGGTGGGGAGGGGGAAGGAGCAGAAAGAAAAGTGTGACATCCGGAGTTATGACTTCCGACATTTCCTGACGCTTATCTCATTCTACTGGAATTTTTAAAAGCGGATAAAATAAGGCGCTTTACGAAGAATTAATAACGGTACAACGTACGTGAATGTAACGGTGAATTAAATAGATGAGATGAACCAATGGGGCAAATCTGTGATTCGTGAATTCGGTAAAAGCGAATTGATGACAGTGAATAATGGTGGATTGAATGAATGGGGAATGTGTGGTAGCCATGTAATGCTGCTGTTCAGTAACGGTGGTGGTTATGAGGGGGGGGGGGGGTTAACGGGTCGTGTGGTGAGCTAAAGAACAATAATTGAGTTTTGAGAGAGATAGCAGAATCTGAGTGAGCGAAGGTGACCTATTAATGTGGAAGTTTGTTCCAGTGAATGGGGGGCAAGAAGAGAAAAATAGCGAAAGCGTGGATTGAGCGCAAGAAGATGGAAGAACAGAGAGCGACAGCAAAGATTGAGAACGTGGAGGGCAAGAAGGGGACGTAGAAAGATAAACGATTGGCAAGATATGGTGGGGCAAGACCATGAAGCGATTTGTAGACCTGTATTATTGTACATATTTCGTATGGTATCGACTATTATTTGTGTTGCTGCTCATTGACCGTTTCTACGTTTTTCACCTTTGGATTGTCATTTAAACGAACTTAAAATACTCAAACATGCAGGGTTATGCGGTATTTTATTTTTCATGCGTTTGGTTTGAGCACCACATTGGCTCTATCTCAGCTCGCAATGAATATGTGTTGTTGTCTGCTTGGCTTTTTCCTCCTGTGTTCAGCAACTGTGTTCTATAAAATACGGTGTAGGTTATATTTTAAAAAAAGTCATATATTTGCTGCTTTGTATATTTTTATTGACACCCTGGACACCTTTGCAATGAGACGTTTCAATAAGTAAATTTCTAAATAAAAATCACTGCCAATAATAACGACACGAAGCTGATTTGAAAGTAACTGAGAGCCCTCGAGTTATTTTTTTTATTCAATTGTTTAAAAAAAGTAAGATTTAACAATGCTGATATATCCACCGGGATATATCCAATGAAATGATTTTGCCACGTGCACCACAGTTTTCACGCGCAATGCATTATTGTTTCATTTCACTCGTCAGGTTGATTAAACATTCTCACAGGAAAAGTGTGCACGTGATATCTTGTCTGGCTACCGTCCGGTGAGGTCATTACGGGGCCTAACCCCCCCAAACAAAATCCATTACGAACCATAACATTGGCTGCGAAACCCCACGCATTAAATCTAAAACCCCGTTTGTGTGTGGGTTTGTTCCCTTCTTTCAGCAAAACAGTTCCAACTTCCGCATTGCCATGTATCAGCATGATGACTTCGGTGGGCAAACCATGGAGCTGACCGAAGACTGCTCACACCTGCACGACCGCTTCAGCATGAGAGAGGTGCGCTCTGTGAGGGTGCACGACGGCGCCTGGGTGGGGTACGAGGAGCCGCACTACCGCGGGCGCCAGTACCTGCTGGAGAAGGGCGACTACCGCAAGTGCTGCGAGTACGGCGCAATGAGCCCCACCATGCAGTCGGTGCGCTGCATCCGACGATTCTGAATGCTTTGCTGCAGCTCACCGAGGTTAAAACAAACCATGTAACGGTCTAAACTCGTGCTGAACAATCTTCAAAGTTGGAAAATAATTGTATTGGTTTTCTGTACAATAAATTGATTGGATGAGCATTACCTATCTGAGAGTGTGAGATTTCTTGTGATGCCTGACAATGGTACCAACGGGTGTGTTTGTTGATCTAATCATATATCGCTGAACATCACAACTATAAAACATATATACGAGATGAGCAGTGGTTAGTGCACTGCAATATGAATCAATAACTTGAGTTCGATACCCAAATATGGCGAAAACCAGTAGCAAATTCAAATTCTTAGGCACCCCTTGCATTGCGCAGCATGGTGAGGTATAGTTCAACAAACCCAGTAACCAACACGGCATGGAGAAAACTTCATCCAACAGTGGTTAGATTCTCGTCCTAATTCACAGTAAAATCCAACAGTCATTAAACATTTCACAGCTTGATCTGTGCCTGAACACGTATACACAGGTAATCAAAATATCACAGCTTGCTTCCATGCTCGATCCATGCTCGAACACATACACACAGGTATCCAAAATACCACACCTTGATCCATGCTGGAAAACATAGACACAGGTAATCAAAATATCACAGATCAATCCATGCTCGATCCAAGCTCAAAGACATAGACACGTGTATTCAAAATGTCATAACTCGATCGGTGCTATCCGTGATCCATCAGAGCTCGATCGGTGCTCGATGGGATCTCGATCCGTACTCGATGAGAGCGCGATCCGTGCTTGATTTGTGCTCTATCCCTGCTCACACAGAGTTCATGACAAACATAAAAAAGCACAAACTTCGTAATATTTTATCAATAATCAAAAATATTAACATCAGAAAATTACAAAACATTAATGCTACAAAACTATTTTAAAGGCCGCTTTCACATTCTATCTAACTTCCAGTGTAAACTCAGTAATAGAAACATACATTTCAGAAGCTGGCACCACTTCGATTTTCCTATATTTATCAATAGTTTATTTGACTGCAGAAACTGCAAGACTTTCTTTGACCAGTCTTTTTTGCCTGTGCCCTTATTTTGTGTCTTTGATTGGCTGTTTGTTTAGGTTGAAATGTGTCAACACTTGATGTTTCAATAATTCCTCTAACTGAGGTATTTTTGTATTGTCTTCTTTGTTGCTGCCTACCTTCCAGCTCGATTTTCTGCAATGATGTTAGCGACACATTGCGTGGAAATACTTTGCGTTTGTTCAGCGATTGGCCTATACAATTTTTCCCACGATTGATCTCGGGTACAGATGTTCCTGCAGTATATATTGCTCTCTTTCCCAGGTCCTCCTGATGTTCAAAATGTACATATTCTCTACAGGTGTATTAGCCAGGGCAAACTCGATTTATTTTTTAGGTGACTATTAATCGAAGTTTGGGTTTCAACAATAGATATTAATGAATAATTAAAATGTAAAAATCTATAAAGAAAATCTATTTCCTTAAAAAGTCCACCTGCAAAACATAAAATAACATTTGCAGATTGATAATACATTTTTTTAGATCAGTTGTGTTGTAAATATAATAATTATATTTACATTTAAACCATTACTTAATTTCCTTTGGATCATATTTGTCCTGATCCACGGCTCTGTTCTTTTGTTCAAACTCACCGACATCCCATCCTTAGGGTGCCTGCATTTATCCTTTCGGGACTGTACAAGTATTATAAAAAAAACACGAGTTGCATCAGTACCATATATCTTTTTTATAAATCTAAAATAAGTATTACTCACCATTTTCATACAGTTCCGACAAACCCCGAACTTAGACAAAAATGCTGATATAGAAACGTTAATTTAATTGTTTTGCTATTCCACCATTGGAACCTCATTTGCCAGTAAAAAATATGATAATTGTTTTTTTACTCTTCTATCTGGCAACAAAACTGACACCTTTAATTTTACAAGGAGTCATGTTTGCATAGACCACAATACCTGCAGCCATAATGCAAACTTAAAACATAACTCTGATAATATATGCACTGTCCTTGAAGTTGATTGGTCTACACCCGAGACAGCTTTCCTTAGAGCCTAGTCTCACATGGGTTGGACCAGATGACGCCAAAAGGCGCACAACTCAAAGACAATGCACCATCAGAGTATGAGAGCTCGGGGTAAGCATTTACACCATTGGAACCTCATTTACCAGTAAAAATTATATGATAATTGTTTTTTTACCCTTTTATCTGGCAACAAAACTGACACCTTTTTTTACGAGGATTCATGTTTGTGTAGTAAGTATATGGAGGCTTGACGACAGGATCGGAGGCACACTTATTTATTACACCAACACAGTTATTACAGGTCACTGGGCTACAGGGATTTCTCGACAGCTAACCCCTCTAACCTATACCAATTCCTCCACTACGGGACTAGGGGAGGCTATCTGTCCCAGCTTGGTTAAGCTGGGATCCCGGCTCCCTGAGTCACCAGACCAGCTTCGTCTGGGCTCTCGGGGCCACGCCACCGGCTTGCCCTGGTCGGCCCTTATAAGGACAGCGAGCCAGGGGAGCTCTGGGGCCTACACTAGCAGGTCTTCCGTCTTCTCTGGTTATAGCTGAGTCCCGACTCCCGAGCCTTTCGGCTCATCACCTTTTATAGGACTTGCCCCCAAGGGGGGGCCCGTGGGGGATACACATGCGGACGTCGGTGCGAGCGCCACCCTTGTGTACGGCCGTAACCCCGCCCCTTGTGTTTGTTGGCCATCCGTGGCCATGCATAATCACACCTCAACATTCGTAGACATGCGCAATTACACCTCTACATCACCCCCCCCTGTACAGCTCGCAGCCGTCCCCGGCTGCAAAAAAAATCAGAATAAAGGTGCATCCCTCACAAAAACCCCGTGTGTGTGCCTCGCGTAATTTTTAACAAGAACAAGAAAACTTCAACAAGAACAACGAGAGGAAGAGAGAGAGAGAGAAAAAAATAACCCGACGCACCCCCACCGGATAACACCCCAAAACCAACATATATATACACTCCGGACGCCACCTTTCCCATCGTCCGCAAGGCCCCCCAACGGCCGACCTCACAACACCCCTCCCCTTTTGTCCGCAAGGCCCCCCAACGGCCGACCTCACAAAAGTCTGCGCGTTTTGGCGCGCGTTCTCGCGGCGGGTCCGTCACAAGGGCCCGTCCCGGCACGCTCAGTGACGGTTGTTGACGGTCCGGGTGCAAGAGGGTCAGGCTTCGCTGCCGAGTGACCCCCGACCCCTCTGGGAGGGGTTGGTGGGCGTGGGCCCGTCACTCCTGTTTCACCTGGGGACGGAACAGTTGGCGTCAGGTTAGGCGAGTGCAGCGACGACGGGGAGTCGGCGACACCCTCACACGTTTGGCCATGCGTGTGTGTGTGTGAACCCCGGGGCGGCGTGACGAATGGTTTTAACCTTGAGGGGTGCACGTACCACCGGCGCCTCCCCCATTTGACGCGAACACATTGCGGCCGCAAAACCTGCACGACCTCCACTGGCCCCCGCCACGGCCGTACCAATTTCGACGAGGTTGCCAGCGGCACCTGAGGACAGTGCAACCACGCCCTGTCCCCTGGTTCCCATTTGACCACCTGCACCCGCCCCAACCGAAGCCTCTCGTTCGCCTTCTGGCGGAGTTCAGAATTTTGCACGGCCGCTTCCCGCGCCTCAGACAATTGAGCGATGTTAAATTTAACGTGTTCGGACAAATTAGACTTCGCCTGGAGCGCCGAGAGCTTCAGCTGGGTTGCCACAGGAGGGTTAACTTCGCGCCCATACATTAAAAAGAAAGAGGAAAATCCGGTGGCCGCATGGGGAGCCATTCTGTAGGCCTGCAACACACCGGCTATGCGGAGGTCCCAATCCGTCTGGGATACCGACACCTGCTGGGACAGCATGGACGTGATGGTCCGATGCAGCCGTTCCACCATCCCGTCAGTTTGTGGGTGATACGGAGAGGTCCGAACCTTCTCCGTACCCAAGAGGTCGCACACCTCACGTAGGAGTTTACCAGAAAAATTCCTACCCTGGTCAGTAAGCAGCCGTTCCGGAGCACCCTTGTCGAGGACATAGCCCTGGACAAAGGCCTCCGCGATGGCTGCTGCCGACTGGTTCGCCAGGGGCCAGGCCATAGGCCATCTCGTGAAGTATTCAACCCCCGTTAGTAAATACCTATTGCCCCTGGGTGTAGCGGGAAATGGGCCAAGTATGTCCAGAGCGACGAGCTCGTTAACCCTGGAAACTTTTATGGACTGCAGCGGAGGGTTGGACCCCCTAGCAGGTGGCTTCCTCTGCGCGCATTGCGTGCATGACCCCAAGAGATCCCCCACGTCCTTTTCCATGCCCGGCCAGAAGAAATCTAGCTGGAGCGTGGCAAAGGTCTTATGAACCCCCAAGTGCAGAAGCCACTCATGAACAGCCCATACCACCTTACCCCTTAAAGCAGCAGGCACCACGAGCCGCTGGCGCCGGGTTTTACCATCCCAGTGCGTTAAAAGTCCCTGGAACAACCCCCACGAGTCAACGTTTTCCACCCCCTGGCCAACCCCCCCGGCGCGACGGCGCAGAGCGAGGAGGGAGGTGTCCTCCATTTGGAGGCGACCCCATTCTGCGACCGACAACCCCAGCAACGAATCCCTCCCTTCTTGCTCGATAGGACCCGAAACCGAAGGCGCATCGGCAGCGACCACGAGGACCGAATCGGTGGTGACGTTCGGAGACCTACAACGCCCCGAACCCAAGAGGCACGCGCACTCCGAAGTGGGTGGCAATCGCGACAGGGCGTCAGCGTTCGTGTGGCGGAGACCCTTACGATATGTGGTGACAAAGTCATAGTCTTGGAGAATCTCCAACCATCGAGACAACTGGCCCGATGGTTGTTGAACCCGCAGGGCGTATTGTAGGGCCGCATGATCTGTACGGACGGTGAACCGCCGACCGTACAGATACGGGCGGTACTGCTGAATGAAATAAACAATCGCCAATAATTCCCGACGGGTAACGCAGTACCGCTGTTCGGCTGGAGACAGTACCCGACTACCGTAAGCCACCACATGCTCTACGCCCCCAATGAGCTGGGACAGCACGCCCCCGATGCCCGTGTT